CAAAGTAAAGAAGAATGAGATTTACTGAATGGCTCCGGCTGCACAACATGGTGCATCTGTACAAAGAACTGATTGTTCTTCAGGCTTTAAAAATTAAGTTTCAAAAAAGAATACAATTTGTATTTTGTTGTTCCTTTAATATTAGTTAATTAATTCCAAAACATCTTCTGCCCAATGACTAATCAACGAATCCTTTCAGCTCCCTATCACTGTGTTTATCCATCCCGCCCACAATAAACCTACAGAGCTCAAATTAAAGGAACAATCTGTCACAGTTAATCCCAATAGATTGTGACACACAGGTGCTCTTCGGCTGTGTGTGTAGTCCTCCTAATCCAAACCTTACCATGACATGGATTTAACCTTTGACCCACTTTAGGTGTCCTGCACCACATGTAGCTCTTGGATTCCCCCATCAGCTCTCATCCTAACTGCTCCCCAAACTAACACACACACACACACACACACACACACACACACACAACCGTGGTTACGCAAGGACAGTGGTGATGTCACACAGTTGGACTCACTAAAACACACACAAAGATGCAGCCTGCCAGACTCGGTTTTGGTCGTCTGATTTCTGGAGCTCGAGTGTTGCAGCCGTGAAACAACTTGACAAAACTAAACAGAGTTTCATGGGTTTCTTGTTTGAGGATGACGCTGAAACCAGTCGCTCCACTACACACACACACACACACACACGCACACACACACAGACACACACAGACAGAGAGAGAGAGAGAGACTCATGCTGTGAGCTACAAGGACACTCCAAGACGAGCAGGAGAAGACATCAGGAAATAAACGTCGAGGAGAGCGCCTGTGAGGATCCCAATTAAAAAAAGTCCACACACAACAGTGTGTGTTTGTGTGTGTCTCCTCTGGGAGTCCTCACTCCACTTAAAGGTTGTTTGTTTGCAGCAGAGGAGGGGGGAAAACACACACACACACACACACACACACACACACAAGACGGGCATTCCCCCTAAACATTATTGAGCGAGGGTGGAGGGAGGGAGGAGGGATCAGCCGCCATCTGCCGTATCATGAGTCATTCTCTTTAGCTTTCAATCACTCCGTCACAGTCAGTGCGCCGTCACTCACAGCACACGCACTTAACCTTGTTTCCTCTATGAGACAGAACACACGATGACACACCGGCATGATGAGTTCATCTTCACCGTCAAACACCGGCCTGTACCGTACAGCAGCTCAGAGGAGCATCGCCACACTGCTACAGCAGTGCTGTGAAAAGTTGCATGAGCGTGTAATATATGTGTCGATGGATTCGATTCTGATCTTTAATTTAGAACATGGAGCGTATCCACCAGTGTGTTCAATCCTTTCAAACTTTGTGTCCACATTTGTTAGAAAGGTTAAGCGATCAAAAAAGGAATTCTCTGTGTAGCAGGAGATCATCTGTGACTTTTACACTTAATCCGTCCCAGCTTCTCCTGTTTAGTTTGTGCGTCTACAAAAATACCTTCCGATCTTCCCTTGAGCATGCGAACATTTAATATTATGGCGAGCCTGCTTCTCCTTTTAATAGATGATTATAAGGGAACCAACAACAACAAAAAACACCAGCATGCAAGTGGCTTCAAAGATCTCTTCTCACTTAAACAATTTATTATCTCAGAGAGGAAACTACGTTCAGGAAAAGAAGAAGAGAAACACACGGACTAAACACAGCGTAACATCACAGAGATCCACAGAAACAACAAACAAACATGCTCTTGACCACTTGTTGAAGGCTGTAATGAAGTTTCTTAATTACAGGGCTGGGCTGGGCTGGGCTGGGCTGGGCTGGGCTGGGCTCCCCCCCCCCCCCTCTCAGTCGACAAGTCAACTAATCGGTGGTTTTGGTCGTGTAAGATGTCTTCAGCCGTTTAGTCTGTTTTTTAATGCTTTTTCAAGCTGAAGGACTTATTTCGGAGACACTTAAGATTTTAAGCGGTGCTTTTGTGTGATTCCTTGTGGAGAACTTTTACAGACACGACAAAATCGTATGAGTGTTAGCCAACTAAGAATTCCTTTGGTTACGGAAAGCTCTCCTAAATAAACAATGAAAAAAGAAGACAGATGGTGAACACAAAGCAGCCAGTACAGGCCTGATCAAGCCGATCAGGTATCAGCCAGATGTGACCGGCAACATTTCGTTTTTGCTGTCTGTGTCTGAGATGCCGGGCTTTCTGGTCTATTAATGCTACTGTTTGGTACCTCTTGCTGGGACCATGTCACGGCATTTTTAGGGAAGTGTTTGTGTCTTTCCATTAACAGTCCCCATGTACAGCACAGGTCATCTACAAGAGAATATGACTCATTAAACAGCCCTGAGATCAGCCAGTATTGATTTTGTCCTGCACACCACACCACAAAACTGCAGCGTTACAGCCGGGGGATCGTCTTCTCTACATCCTGTGTTTATGCATGCGTGTGTGTATATACGATATGTGTGTGTGTGTGTGTGTGTGTGTGCATGTTCATGTCCCATTTGGTGGTTTAGTGCAATTCTTTCAGCAAAAAAAAACAGACGGCCCTCATGACTCAGGAATGCTATGAATGGCTCGGAGGCCTTAAGATGGGAAACTATGCATTGATTCCCGGACATCGTTCTCATAACGCTGGCCTGCACACACTCCTCCGCTGTGACCTCTCTGGTCTCTGTCGGACATTCACAGACACACAAGAACTCACACAAAAAGATGTACGTGTGTGTGTGTGTGTGTGTGTGTGTGTGTGTGTGTGTGTGTGTGTGTGTGTTTGGCCCACCCAGTGTTTTACAGACTTCTCCTCATGGACCGGTGTCTCAAACCTAATAAAAGCAAAGTGCGACAGTCGACATAACTCACTGACAATAACACAAACGCCAAAAGCAGATCCACCCACAATGCATCACTCTGACCTCGACCTCACCCTCCATGTCACTCTGCTTTTAGAGTTGTGCTCTGTTCAAATTGAACTACAGCATATCGATCTGAGAGCTTCTCTCCTTCCAACATGTTCCCTCGGTTGTGTCGGTAAATGCTAACATGCTCACGTTTACAATGCTAACACGCTAACGTTTAGCAGGTACCATGTACACAGAGTCTTAATGTAGTGCGTCAGCATGCCAACATTTGATAATTAGCACGAAATACAGAGGACAGCTTTTACACGCAAGTCCTACTTCTCTTTTTGTAAAAGATTATGTGGGAACCAACATGTGGCTTCAATGATCCCTTCCCATCTAAACAATTTCATATTTCAGAGAGGAAACTATGTGCAGGAAAAGAAGAACAGAAACACACAGACACGAGTAAGAGACAGTCAACACAGCGTAGACGGCAGCAGCCATGAGCGGTGGTGACCCACACACACAATAAGCCACATGTTCTTGACCACTTGTTGCAGGCGGCGGGGAACGTGGACGACAAAGGCTCCAGAAGCGATCGTCAGCTGTCATTTGTCTTTGCTGCACTCCCAATGAATTCATGTTTAAATTAATCTGTCTCTATATTAAACAAGTTCACTTATTGTCCTTTAAGGTCCCACAGGAGTCCCCAGACTCAAGTTTATGAACCATTGGCTTAAGTGCACGAGTGGTCGGCCCCGTCCCTGGCAGTGTGCCACCACGGCCCGGTCGTGAGACGCTCTGCTCGGGGGCCCCGAGGCGCTGCTCCTCCCGGACGCCCCCCCCCCGCCTTTGATCTCATAATCACCTGGCTCAGCAGAGAGAGGGAGAGGCTGCAGGGGCGGGAGGAGGACAATAATAACCTCAGCAGTTGTTCTCGCGGCCACATTGAAGCCTTCGCGTTTTGAGTTCGGAAAGAAAAGGAAGCAGGCGAATTCCTGGGAATATATCTTATGTTGATCATGAACAGCACCGTGCACTCACATCACTGGATGCTAAAAAAAAGAATGGGACGATTAACGTCATCATAGGAACCGGACTCACAGGTCAGGGGTTCAAGGTGATATCTTAAAGGAATCAGACATTTTGCCAGCTGCTGTTACATAAGCAGAACAACAATCCCTCACTTCGCTCACATCCCTGTTCTTGGAGGCGATGAAGGAATCTAAAAATTTGAGCCAAAACCACGTCACCTTTTTAGGAAATCCCTGTTTGTCTATTGCTTGTCTTCTGGCACACAGACGCACACGAATGCAGAGCTCGTTTTGCAGCCAACTTGGACGTCCTGCATGCCAGGCCTTCCCAGCATCATGTGAACAGACACGGTGTTCTACAAACACCACAGCCATGTCCCTATAAGATCATTTTACTAATGCTATTACGGACGAGAATACCTTAACACGGTGACTATAAACACATACAGACAGGGAGGTATGGTGGTATTTTGTGAACCCTTGCACACAAAGCTCCTCTGACAATGAGCAGAAAGACACTCTGCCGTGCAAGCATCGCTCTCTGTCGTCCTCACGTTCAACAAATCAACATTTTTGAACAGCTGTCAGAGTCAAGAAGCTGAAGGTACTGTCTGTTCTTTTTTGTGCTCGGCCCCCCCTCCCAAAAAAAAAACACTCAAACCAAGACGAGCACCCAGAGAGGACAGGGGGATGACTAACCTTTGATATACTCTGACAGAGATACAGTATGTGCCTTATGTGTGTTTAGCCTGTAGCCTGCAGCAATTCTATCCGAGTGCACTTCGCTTCACACTACTCTCTTGACTTTGCATCACTTCACTTGCTTTTACTCTCCTGTGTCATGCAGCGTGTTGGACAAAGATCTCAAACACCTCATTTTATGAGGTTTTATCTCAGGGACACCATATGGAAGAAAGGAAATTATGTGCTAATGATATACTACTGACTATATATTATACACTCCACTGGTTCAATGGCTCATTTTCTAATGCACTGACCTATGATGAAGCTAAATTTTGCAGCATGGGAACCCTCCCCAGGAATCGCCTCCAGCACCCCACCCCCCACCCCCCGCGGGGCTCCATGGACACTTTAGCGGTCATGAGAAGGAGGTGAGAGCGGCTTCTTACCTCAGCAGGTTGGGCAGAGGGATGGAGCCGGAGCCTGACCCCAGTATCCCCTTCTTCCCACTCAGCAATTTCTCCACCAGGGCGACATTCCCGGTCCGGGCGGCTTCCAGCAGCTCCTGCTCCTTCCCCATCCCGGACACAAGTTTGCAACGACGGGGTGATGAAAATCCAACAAATCTCCCATATATCCACAAACTGCCTCCTCGCCTCCGACCCTCTTCCTTCACCGTCTGGAGCGGGGAAGCGTCTGAAAGGATTCCTCTCGCTGCATGCTGCTGCTGCTGCTGCTGCTGAACGGTGAAATAGGTGTTATTGATGCTGCAGAGCGCGTTTGACGTGCACTGCTCCCCTGGTGCCTTCTAACCTCAGTCCGTTCACACGCACGGCTCCGTAATCTCCTCTCGTATGAGTTCGCCGACGTGCACGACTCCCCAGCGTAACCTCAGTGCAAACAAGCGCAGCGGGAGAGGAGCCGGGGGGGGGGGGCTCTGAAGCGACTCCCTTAAGTGTGAAGTAAAGAGTCATGAAAAATAAAACTCCTTCTCCGTCCTGTCCGGAGCGCAGCTCCAGCTGACAACAGGCGGGAGGTGGAACCCTTACGCCTCCACAGGAAGCTCTTCAGTCCCGCTGTACTCTCCTCCTCTCTACCCTCGAACCTACCGCACTGGCCGGTGCCTCTCTGGATCTCATGAGAACACAGGTGTCAAGTTAGCCGCGTTCACGACTGTACACTTCCTGTTCTTTGCTTTCAAAATAAAACTCTCACTCGCCAATTTGTTACAAACTTGACCATCCGAGCTTAGACGTGGATGATAAAGATATGAAGAAAGCTGGTTTGTGTTTCTTTTTTTGCTTTGCCTTCTTGTTTCTTTTATATCTTGTCTTTTCGTATTTTTTTAATTTCACTTTTTACTTATTTGCTGATGTGTACCATTCCAATAAACTGCCTTGCCTTCACACAACTTACAAAAACAATGCTGTTAATTTGACCAACATATTTCTTCATATTTGTAGATACTGTTTGCAATTTTAAGCCTAGCTAACAACAGCTAGCTATCTCGAGGCAGGTAAGGCAGGTAAAAAGATGCAAATCAAACAAATAAATAGTCAAATACCGAACTACTATGTGCAGAAAACTAAAGAAAATGTCGTATTTTTGAAAATCTGTGAGCAGAATGGGCAAAATATGGGGTCACTGGAGAAAAATAGATAACTGCTGGGGCCCAGTTAACCTCTCTATCTGGTGCAATTTACAATTGTTATATGTTGGAATCATTTGCCTGCCATGTCTGATTAAAAGCTTCACTATACACTCATTAAATGCATTTCTGGAGATAAAGACATTTAACTCTAATGCTTTTATATGTATGTGTCAAAAGTAAATATTTATGTGCATATTTATGCATCATCACACATTCTAAGCAACAGCCTGGTCATGGGTGGGTCTTGTGCAAATCTAAACTTTTATTTTGAAAGCCAAGCCACCGTCTTCCGCTGATTTACACACAGTGTACAGTCTGGGGCGTGGATGATGGTGATGCCACAACACCAACAGGAGGCAATGCCTTTGTTTATCTCTTCAAAAAGTCTCACTCACATCCACCAGCTGTGCTTATTGTTGCCACTCTCGGACCATCAATCTATTCAATCACACACACGCACATGCGCAGTTGCCCTCTACAGGTGTGTTCACTGCTGCAGGATTTGGAAAACGGGTGAGATCCTCAAATAGCCTGTCATGAAGATGGATTTTTTATAAAGTGCTCCGATCTGTCGACTGACAGCCTGGGAAACAGACACACCCCCTCCTCTCCACCGCCCCCCCCTCATGCCCCCGGTGCATGCTGGGACACGCCTGATGGCTCCACTCTGCTGCTTAATTGGAATTCAAAGAGAAGTGCTGCCTTCAGGTGCTCCACCTTCAGCTGATGTTTTCCCACGTCTGAGCTTGTAAAGACGAGTTGTTATTGATTTTGGATAGCAAAAAACAGCTGTTATCCTTTTTAATTAATCTGCTGATTATTTCCTTGAATCGATTAATCGTTTAGTCTGTAAAATGGGAGAAAGCAGTGAAATGCTGCACACATAGTTAAATGTCGAAAATACAATTAAACGATTAATCGGTTATCCAAACTGTCATTTAACAACATTAATCAACTTATTGTTTCAGCGGAAGTTATTTTGACAAGAGGATTTTAGATGATGATGGCTGTTAAAGTGAGGAAATCAAACATTTAACTGATTTACTGCTGCAATTAATGAGTTTTCATTATCAATTAATATGTTGATTATTTTTTGTAATAAGTTAAACAATCGTTCAAATTCAAACTTAAAAAAATTGTTTTTTTTTCCTTGATAATATTTACAATTTAATGACTTAAGTTTATTCCATTAAGACAGAAATGTTAACAAAACCGATCAAAACTCCAAATAAGAAGAGTGAAGCAGAAGATGCCTTGTTACAGGCCCTGAACAGACTAAACCTCTTCTCGTGACTGAAACTGAAGCAGCTGAATGGAATTCAGCCGTCGCTCATTTTCATTACAACAGTATTACAGGATCACTGTAGATGCAGCGAGGCTCTGGCAGAGAAATAAAGCAGGAACCAGAGAATAAAACAGCCTCTCTCTTCCATCATATTCCCCACAATCCAGCTGTACACGGTGCTGGGAGACACACACACACACACATATATAAATGAAGGTCTGTGACATAGCCATCATCACAGACACATTAAGCTACATAGGTAACCAGGCGTTTATGTAAATAGCAGCAGAGCAGAACTTTTCCCTCACTCTCACTCACACAAACACTTAATGCCCTTCTATAACTCACTGCACTACTCCAGCAGTAAAATGTCATGACCATTTATGTGCACAAAGTCCAAACAGTCTCCTTCAGCGGTTCAGTGCGGCTCATTTGAGCACTCTGAGGGTCTGCACTTACATTCAAAGAGTTTTTCTTCTCCGTTTATCGCAGAACAAACTCCAGCATTGTTTTTAATTTATTCAGAAATGCGGAAATAAAAGCTTTGAACAAGACTCGAAACCCTGGAAAGCTTTGAAGGTTTTATGAAAGGAATGCTTCCTTTATTTGTTCCTATGCCTGGCACCAATACTGACATTTTCAAAATACTAAATCTGATAAATAAACCGAAAAAAAACTAAGAATGATGAAACATTTTAGATTGGAACCCTTTTATTTTCATCAGTATTTCAGCAGCTTTGACAGACAAAATACAACTCATTACTTTTTGTGTTTTTTTCTTTCCTCCACAGGGTTTCAGGGGGAGGAGCCTCCCAGAGAGGAGAGGAAGAGGAGGGCTGTGATGAATAATGAAAAACACACGAGATGAAACAGAACATTTTTCCTCTCCCCCCCCAAAACAAAACTCTTCACTTACAATCATGTTAAATCCTACTACTTACATTTCAAGTCTTGAAACCGCATTTGTGCAGAGAACGAGTCATCTTTCACATCTTTTACAGTAAACAGAAGAACCTTTCCTAAAAAGAAAGATACTGAAATGAACTGGGCCGAGCTCAAGTACAAGTTATGACGGTTGCATATTTAGACTGTACTGAATCTTTACTGTTAATTGTTAAGTTTGGAGAACATGTCCTGTAATAGTCTTCTGCACTGTCATTAGTAAGTCCATTTTAGTCATTTTTAACATTTACTCTGAGGTTTCCCCCGAAGTCATGAAGCAGGGAACAGCAGCAGATATGGTCAACACCTCTCCATGAAGGAATTACACATGGCAGATTAGAAATTACCATAAGGACACACATACATATATATATATATATACATATATATGTAGTCAGGCAGCTTCAATGTGCCTTAATCCTCCTC